AACAAGTCCCCCCCCCCCCCCCCCCCCCCCCCCCCCCCCCCCCCCCCCCCCCCCCCCCCCCCCCCCCCCCCCCCCCCCCCCCCCCCCCCCCCCCCCCCCCCCCCCCCCCCCCCCCCCCCCCCCCCCCCCCCCCCCCCCCCCCCCCCCCCCCCCCCCCCCCCCCCCCCCCCCCCCCCCCCCCCCCCCCCCCCCCCCCCCCCCCCCCCCCCCCCCCCCCCCCCCCCCCCCCCCCCCCCCCCCCCCCCCCCCCCCCCCCCCCCCCCCCCCCCCCCCCCCCCCCCCCCCCCCCCCCCCCCCCCCCCCCCCCCCCCCCCCCCCCCCCCCCCCCCCCCCCCCCCCCCCCCCCCCCCCCCCCCCCCCCCCCCCCCCCCCCCCCCCCCCCCCCCCCCCCCCCCCCCCCCCCCCCCCCCCCCCCCCCCCCCCCCCCCCCCCCCCCCCCCCCCCCCCCCCCCCCCCCCCCCCCCCCCCCCCCCCCCCCCCCCCCCCCCCCCCCCCCCCCCCCCCCCCCCCCCCCCCCCCCCCCCCCCCCCCCCCCCCCCCCCCCCCCCCCCCCCCCCCCCCCCCCCCCCCCCCCCCCCCCCCCCCCCCCCCCCCCCCCCCCCCCCCCCCCCCCCCCCCCCCCCCCCCCCCCCCCCCCCCCCCCCCCCCCCCCCCCCCCCCCCCCCCCCCCCCCCCCCCCCCCCCCCCCCCCCCCCCCCCCCCCCCCCCCCCCCCCCCCCCCCCCCCCCCCCCCCCCCCCCCCCCCCCCCCCCCCCCCCCCCCCCCCCCCCCCCCCCCCCCCCCCCCCCCCCCCCCCCCCCCCCCCCCCCCCCCCCCCCCCCCCCCCCCCCCCCCCCCCCCCCCCCCCCCCCCCCCCCCCCCCCCCCCCCCCCCCCCCCCCCCCCCCCCCCCCCCCCCCCCCCCCCCCCCCCACCCCCCCCCCCCCCCCCCCCCCCCCCCCCCCCACCCCCCCCCCCCCCCCCCCCCCCCCCCCCCCCCCCCCCCCCCCCCCCCCCCCCCCCCCCCCCCCCCCCCCCCCCCCCCCCCCCCCCCCCCCCCCCCCCCCCCCCCCCCCCCCCCCCCCCCCCCCCCCCCCCCCCCCCCCCCCCCCCCCCCCCCCCCCCCCCCCCCCCCCCCCCCCCCCCCCCCCCCCCCCCCCCCCCCCCCCCCCCCCCCCCCCCCCCCCCCCCCCCCCCCCCCCCCCCCCCCCACCCCCCCCCCCCCCCCCCCCCCCAGGAAACATTCAGGAAAAATATTTTCTTGAGAAAATTTCTTTTGCTGTTCCTTGAATATATACTTTCTGGGTTTTTTTTCCCTCATACTTTTTCCTCCCCCTGGTATGCTATCACCTTCCACTGCAATCTAAGTTTTACCCATTCTCTTCCATGTCACTCACAAGCTACTCTAATAAAGGCTATAGAAAAGGGGAGGACATGTTGCATTAATTGACCAGAAATAATAACAAGGCAACAAGGAAATCTAGCAAGATAATCAAAATCCAAAAAATAAAAAGATCACAGGAAGTCAAGAGCCACAACCCTCTTGGGAAACAGCCTGTAAAACCTATCCATAAATTCCATAATAAAAGCAGCTGGAGAACTGCACTTTTTTTTTTTTAATAGATCAGGATAGCAAAATGTTGACAATAATTAAAGGAGGATATCCAGTATTCATCTTGGTATATATCTAAAAAAATTGCAATTAACAAATTTCTTTTGTATTGGGACAAGTATAGAAAATTATGACAGATATCAGAGAGGACTACCAGAAAGAGCAGCATAAATTACTCAAAGCACACTGGTTTACTTCAAGGAGATACTATTATTATAGAGATAAAATATATTAAGAGAAAATAAAGGTACTTCTACTGTTCTAAAGAACTATGCTAAGAAAGTCACAGAATTAGAATCCTAAGGGAAGCAACAAGAAAACATTACATATTTGAGAGAAAATGTATTAAATGGACAATGAGAAATTAGATTATCAGACAGGGAGCCTCTGTAATGCTGTTGGCAGACCCAGGACATTGTGATATTTTATCTCTCACTACTGGAGATCCTGTGAGACAAAGAACAAAATAGAGAAAGAAAAGTGTCTGGGTCAGAGATTAAAAAAAAAAAAGTAATTAGGCATTTAATTGCAGCAAACAGGATCACCCTTATATGTACTGGAGAAAGAAAGCCACCACCTTCTGTGAAAGAGCAAGCTTTTTAAAAGGATAGGACAATAGTAGAGGGAAATAAAATGCAAGTTTTATCCAATTGCCACACAAACAAAATGGAAAAGTGAGAGAGAAAGAACCTATTTAAAACCTTGAATATTCAAAAGCTGAGGAGTAGTCAGTCTTCAAAAAGCCTCAGATTTCAGAAATCAGCAGCTAGTACTGAAACATTTAGTGAGGATGACTGTCCCTGTGAGATGGATAAAGAGCTGTGTCTCTTCCCAGGAGGGAGATGTCACTGGCCTAAGTTATTCCACAGCATGAGGTAGCAACAGTGGCCCTTACAGCACAGGAGTGGTAACTCTGGCTCACAAGACATCTGAAGGCTCTATCACCTTCAGTCCACACCTTCATTGCAGCACTGGGTGACAGAAAGACAGGGCTCAAGGGGAAACAGAAATTAAGACGTCTTGAATTTAATAAATGCGATGTAAAATCACAGAAAAATGAGATTTAACTAGAGTTGTCATCATTACCGAATTTTAAATTTTGTGAAAAGGAAGCAGTGTCTCCAATCCAATGCCACCAAGAGACAAGACAACTGACACAGATAGCCTTTCCCCCTAGATCTGGCATTAAGTTTTTTTTTTTTTTTTTGCTCGGCAGGCACTGTACCACTTGAGCCACTCTACCAGCCCTGGCATTAGTTTCTTGATAGCAGAGCCCTCCCAGCCAAGTTTCAATGGAAAGTCAACTCTAGAGATAGACTGCTTAGCATCCTGGAGGTGTTGATAACTTTGTTAAGAGTCATTTCAGTGCAATGGTGGGATGAAAGCCCAGTTGGACTGGGTTCAGGGTAGAAGAGGTGGGATAATGAAGGTAAATTTTCTATTTTTGTCCCAATATTAACCCTTTCTAAGAGGGAGAAAAATATATTATTTTAGCACATGTATCTGTAAAACTCAGTAAAGCTGGTAATGAAAAAATGAGGCACTTTAATCAAATTATACGTATGTTCCTTCATTATGAAGGGATTAGGTCCTGATAAAACCCACCGCAAATTAAAATATTATAAACTGAAAATGTATTTACTACATCTAACCTTCCAAACATCGTAAGCTTAGCCCAACCAACCGTGAATGTATTCAGAATACTTAGATTAGCCTTCAGTTGAACAAAATCATCTAACACACAGTCTGTTTTATAACGAAGTGTTGAATATCTCATATATTTTACTGAATACTGTACTGAAAGTGAAAAACAGCATGGTCATAAGGGTATGCTTCCACACCATCAAAAAAGTCAATAACTGCAAACTGAACCATTAGGTGTACGTCTGTACATCTAATTTCCTATGTAGTGCTAGGCAAGATCAAAAGCTGAGGAGTGAGGAGTGAAGAGTGAGACTGTAGGAAGTTTGGGAAAAGAGGAAAAGGTATGCTCTCTAGTTATTTTACCCAGTGAAAGAATGACTGTATTGTGGAAACTTAGCAAGACTGTCAAATAATATTGAGTATCCACAGCCTTTGTAGAGTCAAATGATAAGGAACAATCAAACCAGCTGTGTAATTTTCTCTTCCAAGGGCTGAGCTTCTGGGGCAAAAAAAAGGAGAGCTGGCAGAACATTTAACCAGAGTTAGGAGAAAGAGTGAGAACAAAGGACATTAAAGCTATATTTGAGGGACATAAACTCTTGCTAAAACCTAAGAAAATAAAGTCTTTTGTCTATATCTGCATGATTAGGAAGCCTAGGAAACTTATATCCCAATTCTGTTTTTTAACTTCAAGAAAACCAAACAGAAACAAATAGACAATAATTCCATTAATTACAATGTGCTCAAAATCTTGAATGACTACCACAAACATGACAGAATTTCACAATGGATTGATACTAGGATTTTGTTGTGTAAACTTAAACACATATTATTAGAAAGATAGCCTTACCTTGGTGTTTCCCAAGAAGTCTCTATATTCTTTTAATATCTTTTGGTTTCTAAACAGCCCTATAGGAATTAGAAAATAAATTTAGGTCATACGTATTACTGATACATATCATTGACAGACAGTTTAGATGAACAAAACTACTTTTTTTGGTGGGGGGAGGGACGGGGACAGGACACTGGAGTTTCAACTCAGGGTCTTGTGCTTGCCATTTGAGACATGCCCCCAGGCCTTTTTTACTTTGGTTAGTTTCAGGATAGAGTCAAGTTTTTTACCCAGGGCCAGCATCAGACTGCAATCCTCCTACCTATACCTCCCACATAGCTGGAATTACAGACATGATACATCCTGCCCAGTTAATTTGTTGAGATGGTGTCTCACTAACTTTGTACCTGGTCTGGGCCTTGAACCATAATTCTCCTAATCTCCACCACCCAGGTAGCTGGGATTATAGGTACCTGCCACTGGCTCCTAGCATTAATTACTCTTTCAAAACCACAAAAACAAATAATGAAAACATTAAAACAGCACTGGCAAACATTTTTTTGTAAAGGGCTAGACAGCAAATAGTTTATGCAATGAAGGCCAAGAGGCAATATAAAGGAAGATACTTAGATAATAAGAGAAAACAAATATCCATAAATATTTCTGATGAAATTTAAAATATAATAAAAACATGTGAGTATAATTCTTTGTAACTCAAGGCCTGCTACTAAGCTGGGGGATACAGGGGCTTGAGATAATATTCACTTCACTGGAGCTCAAAGTTAATATGTCTTTCATTTCCTCAAAATCAAAACTGATTACAACTGGCATTTGTTAATGATGAGATTTTACATCTTTCATATTTGACTATCCCTTCTCTTATAGATAGGTACTACCAAATACCAGGAATTAGTATTCTAGTGAGTGTCTAGTACTCTCATGAGTGTAAGATTTTATTTAACTTTTTTTAACACACAATCACCAACTGTCCAAGTACCAAAAACTTAAGCTTCCAAAATCTCTTGATATAGATTCTGCATGAAGAGCCAGGAGTTGTTCTACATGAGCCACTCAGGACAGAAATCCTTTTTAGAGCATATGGCTTTAAATGAATATATTCTTTACATTAAAAGCATTTGTAGAAATTTATTAAACTCTTCTTTGGTATATGCCCTTTAACAAGTCATAATACAACATGTGAATAATTTCTAATTAAAGGTTTGTGGATGCTCCTCAATGCACAATTCAACAGGTTGTGAAATATGGGAATTTTCTCTGCACTTTTAACTAGGTCTGAAAAACACTTCTGGAACTACAGGCTGGGCTTAGAAAATGGAACTACTGCAGAATTCTTCTGTTTTTAACAATGTAGGAAGGGCATAAATCACAATGGCCTTACTTGTGGTTCAAACGATGAATCAGAATAAGCTTTACATTTAAGTACTATTTTGCCTTACAATTTTACACTGAATGCATTAAGATAAACCCAGTTCGAAGCACCATTTAATTTTCAAAACCACTCAGTATTTGATAACAGTGACTGATCAGGGTTTCTTATTTAGAAAAAAATCCAATCTTGGATATTTAAATTTTGAACTAAAAACTGCAATTAATCTGTTAAGCCATTGGAATGCTTTGTAGTAGGTAAGTCAGAATAAGTGGTTTCTATTTCTGACAAAAACTTCACAGAATAGTAAAAATTGTTAAGCCTACAAGACTGAATAGTTCACTGTTGACCCTCCTGATTCACTAACAAATGACAGATTCAGGTTCTGACTAATGACAACTATATTATGCAAAGTATCTACTGATAAGTCTTGAAACATCTTTACCTTTGCACAACCTTGTAAATCTATCCAACTAAGGCCTTTTCTGTTCCACATAGAAAAATATTTTTACCAATATCAGCTGCGCACATTTTAGCAGACTCTACTGAATTGGTATTTTCGTATCTTCTTTGAAAATAATGACAGCCTGTGGTCCCCATAGTAAGTCTTCAGTTGTACTGACTTAGCACTGACTCCTCAAGCAATAAGGACTAAGTAGTATCTGTGTGTCTGCCAACTCATCAGGAGCCACAGAAACTTATCAAAATCACTTACTTGCCTTGTCTTTAGCTGACTATTGATGTCATTGGTAATGTCCTCAACTCTTCAACAAACTGGTGTTATTTAAAAACTGTTAGTCCTGACCATATTTCTTCAACTGGCCTAATTAAACATGATTTAATTAACTCCCATTATAAAACAGCTTTCTTGGCAAACAAATGAGCCACTAAGAGACTGAAACTTGTTGCAGCCTCCATTTTTTTACTTTTGGGAAGAAATTATACCATGATGGTATTCCATTTAAGATATTTAATATTTATGTGAGTTGGGATTACTGTAATGAGTGATCAGTTTTACATATATTGCATTATTTTAAGTCAGCTTTAGTCTCATTGCATAGTAAATGCAGTGCTTTGCCATCTAATTAAAAACAAAATACTGAGGCTAGCTCAGGGCATAAGTTAGCAAAACCTTATCTCAACTAAGATACCATGTATGATAGTTAACTTCTTTATCCCCAGCTACACAGAAGGCATAGGTAGAATGATTATAGTCTGAGGCCAGTCCTAGGACAAAATGATAAACCCTATCTGAAAAATAACTAAAACAAAAGGACTGGAGAAATGGTTTAAGTGGTAGAGTGTCTGCCTAGTGAGCATGAGTCCAAACATCAGTTTCACCAAAAGAATTAAAATAAATTAAAAAACCCATGCTCAGCTGTGACTTATATGATACTACTCTTCTAATTGACAAGGTAGGTATGCACTATTTAAAAAAATTAGAACTGTGTTACTACATTTTGTGTGCACTGAGCAAGAGTATAGACAGGAGCACCACACACAGCCTCTCACTCAGCAAAGTGAGAGTGGAGCTACTCACTCTGCTGATGGTAGTACAAAGGCAGCAACAGACAATATGTAAACAAATGTTTATACGTGCATTCTGAAATTTAAAGTTCATTAATTTTCATGTGTCATGAAATACTCTTTAGTTTTTTGTCAGTTATTAAAAATCTAAAATTCCTTACATGTAGATTATCCAAGATAGGCAGCAGACAAGATTTGCTCAATAGACCATAATTTTCTAGTGCTGCTGGCTAATGAAGACAGATTCCACAGCATCAACAAAAGTTTAGGAAGAGTCAAAGACATAGATTTTTATAAGCTATTCAGAAAGCCTCCTCTTATAAAATTGATTAATCTAATATTTAAAACTATAAACTAAACCCCACAGGATTGGTAAGTACTTTCAGAATTAGACTTGACAAAAATGAGTAACATTTGGACACTGACTCTAATATAGAAAACCAAAAGATCCTTTATGTCCTCTTTAGTAAAAGGAACTTAAACCAAAAATAGTTCCTCATTCACCATAAACAGTTGGCTTCATCCCAGGGATGCAGGGATGGTTCAATATACACAAATCATTAAGTGTAATACAGCATATGAACAGAAGCAAAAACAAAAACCACCTGATCATCTCAAAAATGCAAAAAAAAAAAAAACCCTCGATAAAATTCAACACCATTTTGTGATAAAAGCTGTGATAAAACTAGGAATAGAAGGAATGTATCTCAACATAATAAAGGCTATATATGACAAACCTATAGCCAACATCACACTTAATGGGGAAAAACTGAAACCATTTTCCCTAAAGTCAGGAATGAGACCATGGTGCCCACTCTTTCCACTCCTATTCAACATAGTCTTGGAATTCCTA